AGGCGGAGGCTCGCGGGAGGTCTGGAGGTGGACGCAGGGGACAGAGGGACCTCCGGGATGAGAAAGCGACCCAGAGACACAGAGACGAGCGAGATAGGCGGAGACGCAGGAAACCGATGGACAGACAGACAGCCGGACGGACCGAGATGTGACCTCACCCTCCTGTCACTTCCCCAGGGGACAGCCCTGACCCTGCAGGTCCAGCTGCCACTGTCCCCACCGCCTGCGGTCATGCGCTTGGGCTTTTGATAGGACTCAGGTCCTTCCCATGTGACCGGGTAGTGTTTGGGGGGGCTGGGAAGGACAGGGGACACTGGCGCACACAGTAGGTGCTTTAATGGATGTTGGGGGGACCAAAAAAAAAAAAAGTGACCTGAATGGGGGAGGGCTGGAAACAGGACAAAGAGGGAGAAGCCTTCTTCTCGGTCGCCCTACCCAGCCATGGCGCACAGAGGGGGTGGGGGAGTGCCTATCTGCCTCTGTCTCCCCCAAAGGTAACCCTAAAAATGCCAAGGGTGGCTGGATTCATGGTTAGGCTTGCTGCTGTGGGGCGATCCCAGAATCCCAGCGCTCAGGGAGTGTCCCTGTTAATTTTGCACCCCATGGCAGGGGGGTCTCCCCACCAGCTCTTCTGCACCCGAAGCTGCTCTGATCCCGGGGCGCCCCTTCCCCCACCCCCGTTTCCAGCCTTGCCAGGGCGGAGCCCATCTGGAGCTGAGCCTCAGCTGGCCTCCCTGAGCCCCAGCCCACCTGTGGGGTCCCACTTGACTGTCCTGGGGCTGCTCTTTTTTGCTGGAAACTTCTCCGAGGTCCCTTGGTGTCAGCAGGTAGGTTGGGCAGAGACCCTGGGGCTCCTTGGAACCCAAGAAAGCCTTTGGCTGTCGCGTGTGAGTTTCCTGACAACCTCAGCGTTTTTTTTTTTTTTTGCTTTTCGTTTTTTGGAAACCTCCCTTTCTGCCTCCTGGCCTGATTCTTTAGTTTATTTAATTTATGGATTTATTTATCTTTAGTTTGGGGCTATAGAGCGTGTGTGCTTGCCAGAGACAGAAGCAGACAAAGAAAGTGAGAAATCTCCTCCCCCCCAGGGGGATGGCCATGCCACAATCCCTTCTCTTCTCTAGATCTTTTTATTTATTTATTTTTTTAGGAGAAATTTTGCTGTAGAGTATGTGCACCCAGACCAGCAATTGGAGTAGTGGCTATGTTGCTGGTCTCCCAGGGAGTCGACTCCGGTTCAAGTCTCGGACCCGGTGGCTTAAACTCACACCGGGTGCGCATGTGTGTGCCCAAGATCCCGAGAGGAGAATGGAGGAGAAGGGATTGCGGCGTGGCTAACCCCCTGGGGGGTGATCTCTCG